AATGATCAGAGTGCTAAATTAAATACCAGCCAAATGTCAGTATCATGATTTGATAATGATTTTAGAGGGCAATGAAGTGCATAGCTATATAGTAGAATACTCAAATAAATGAAGTTGAAGGAGCATGCAGATCAAACCTAATCGGGACAAGTTGACCTCCATAATATCCTAATAATATCCTAATAATGATATTTTCTTTCTTTTTATTCTTAAATTCTTTAGATAATTATAAACCAACGTCAGTTGGTCGGGCATTAAATGGAGTAGAAGTTAAGATATTTGACCCCGATCCAGAGACTGGAGATGGTGAGATTTGTTTCCGTGGGCGTAACATATTTATGGGATACCTTGACAACGAGGAGAAGACAAAGGAGGCACTTGATGATGAAGGATGGTTGCACTCAGGAGACATTGGGAGAGTTGATGAAGAGGGTAAGTATATATAGTGTCTCTCTTAATGGACACTCTCTATAGCGTACACCTCCATTTAACGGACGGCACCTAATGTACCAATTACATTCCTTACTGTATAAAATAACCTCCACATAAAGGACATCTCTGTATAACAGAGACGCTTTCTTGTAACTAAGTGTCCATTATATAGAGGCTCATTGTATTAATTACATCATAATTTTCCTTCTCTGTTATACTCTGATCTTTTTCTTTCTCACTCCATTCAATACTAAATTATACATGTACATGTACATGAACATGTATTTTTAATTATTAATTTTTAATTATTTATTGTTAGGTTTTTATTATATTACTGGTCGTAAGAAAGAGTTGATAATAACTAAAGGAGGAAAGAATATTGCACCAGTACCTATTGAAGATGTAATATGAGTAATACATGTACCATATGTGTTCTTTTTATTCCTCTCTCTGTGTTTCCTGTACTATAGTATGTAAATGTATGCATGTACATGTACATACAATGTAGACCCTGTACTTTTATGTACACTTAATTCAATGATTTCTCATTTGAAATTGTATACTTTACGTCTATTTGTATGATTTTTAATGTATCTTTTTAGTGTATTAAAGAGGAGGTCCCTATCATTAGTAATGTAATGTTGGTTGGAGATGATAAGAAATATCTAACAATGCTGGTCACACTACGTGTTAAAGTAAGTAAAGATCACATCCTTTTAATCTATCATTCAATCTCTCTCTCTCTCCTCTCTTAAAATCTATACATGTACATATGCATGTACCATAATTATATTGAAGGAAATTACATTTATACATGTAATTATTGTGATGACTTGAAGTTTTATAGCTATTTTTTGAGTTATCCGCATTTTTAAGAAACTTTGCCAGCAATTTTTAGCTCACCTCTCTCATTCTCTCTATTCCAGGTTAATGAGAATCAAAGTCCAACTGACAATTTAGCAGATTCTGTTGTAGCACTTTTATCTCAACACAACTCTCAATCAACTACTGGTAATTATTATTATTGCATAGTAAGATCCTTATCCTCTTATACGTAATACATGTAGTTACTGAGGCTAAGGATGATGATATTGTTAAGCAGTTGATACAAGAAGGAATGGAGAGAGCTAATGAGAGGGCAATCAGTAGGGCTGCACGCATTCAGGTACTTAAGGAGTGGGTACATGTACATGACTAACTACATATGTAATGTGTGTTCATTGTGGATTATATCTATTTTAATAAGAAGATGAAGAAATGTAATGATGCAAGGTTTTGGAAAATGTTTAAATTATGTGGTTCACTTGAAATCACTCCATTCATTTCAATTCTTAAAATTTGACCCCTTGAAGATATTCATTATTGTGAACTAATGTGTTAAATACGTGCATAATTATTTTATTACTCTATTATTATTATTGAACTTGTAGAAGTTCACTATACTACCAGTTGAGTTCAGTAT